AAAGGAGGACACCCATGAAAAGTTTGTGGGGTATTATATCATTCACATACTACAGAAGTCAAGAACAGTATATCTCATTATCTTGAGAGAACAGCATAAAAAAGCACAGCTGTTCTTGGCTTCTGTAGTATGTGACAGCATGTGTTTCATGGTTTTTGTGCAACCAGGGGTGGTGGAGAATGTGTTGTTGACTGAGAGATGGGTAGGGGGTAGGGAAAAATTAGGACAAGGGGACTACAAAGCGGACATCCAACAGCAGACCAGAGCTGGACTGTCCAGACAAAATCTATTCAGCGTGCCTAAATTTATATATACTTAGACAATAAAGTATCTGTTCTACAATAGGTAAAACTGTCTTAAACTGAATTCTCAATACTGCTGATTAATTAAACCTGGGGTCCTTAATCCTGGCCACAGTGGATGGGCCATATGTTCTTAAGGCTAAATTAATTCAATTATTATCTTAAAGGAGCATTTTCAGATACACTGAAAAATGACATACACACCGGCTTGTTAGAGTCTGTTACTGGGGATTCCACATTAAACCTTTCCATGTCTTTTTAAATGTTAAATATGGCAGGTTTCTGTCTGTTTTCCTGTTTTAGATTGTTCACATTTTGCCCCTGAGTGATGTTAGTTCTGTCCCTGCTCCATCCTTGTATACCCATGAACTTTTCAAAATGCCTATTCAGTTGCTAACTTTGCTTATATAATATACAACTAAACCCTTACTGCAGTAGAACTGTACTGAACACACAAAAGGCAATGTATATGGCATTACCACTCAAGCAAGTTTTGTTTTGAGTGTAGTTTTGATTTCAATTTTTAGTCTTTGTATTGCAAGGGCAATACTAATGCTGTAATGTTAGAGTCCATTACAGCATTGCAGTGGGTTTATTTTTCTGTTGAAAAGTATAAATCAGTAGAGGGATATGAAAACACTTTGAAAGCAATAAATATACTATGGAACACCGTGAAGTTGGTAATCAGGAAACTAAGGCAATATAGCACCCCTAGGACCTTGCCTAGAGTAAGCCACTGCCAAGATGGATGACTATTCAACGAATGGGCTCCTTAGGGAGAATGCTGGCACAGGACCCACCACGCACTGCATGCAGCAGCTGTGTCCTCCAGAACTTCCCGGCTGTGTGACAGGGTGACAAAGACAAAACCCTAACCCTAACCCTAACCTTAACCCTAACCCACCATGCACTGCATGCAGCAGCTGTGTCCTCCAGAACTCCTAGGCTGCGTGGCAGGGTGACAAAGACAAAACCCTAACCCTAACCCTAACCTTAACCCTAACCCACCACGTACTGCATGCAGCAGCTGTGTCCTCCTAGGCTGCGTGACAGGGTGACAAAGACAAAAGCCACTTTTCACAAAAACATCATTCAGTCACATCTCAGTCAGTCTCTCAAAACCATACTGGAAAAATCCTTAGTGGTCTGATGCTGCGTTCCATTTACCTCAGAGATTGGAACTCGGAATGACGTCACACATGAGTTTCAAAAAGCAAGATATCTTGCTTAGCCAGATATATTATCGGATTTACCCCTTTATCTTCCTTCACTTACATTTAGTCCAGACTACCTTAGATCCGACAAGTTGTCTGGCTAAGCAAGAAATTCTGCTTTGAAATAGTTCCTGGTTGTAGCCTGGTTAATTGTTAGCCATTGTTAGCAATATCAGTGGATAACAACACATTACATGGTATTTTGTGCATAAAAACACCATAGCAACATGTCCACAGATAGCGGTTGGACAATACTGTGTATACGACCGATTTAATGAACCACAAATAAAACATTATAAGTGCTAATAAACAGTGTAAAACTACAGCTTTAACTTCTGTTGATAAAGGGTGCAGCCATCTTCGATTCTGTGGTCGGGATTGTGTTGATTCCTCCGAGTTCACGAGTCGGAATTCCAACTTCAGAGGACGTTCCAGCTGAAATTTCCGATTAGAACTCAGAATTTCTGAGCTACAAGGTCAAATGGAGCGCAGCATGACAGTGGAGAATTTGGTATGTTTAATTCAATTCAGTTCAAGTTTATTTGGATAACGCATTTTCACAACATTATATTGTCTCAAAGCACTTTACATTATCCCTACATAAAACCCCCAGGAAAGCAAGCCAGAGGTGACAGTGGCAAGGAGAAACTCCCTAGAAGGAAGAAATCAGGCAGAGGAAGTCAAATGAGCAAGATGCCAAGTCCCAATTCACACTATCCCCATTTCAAGAGCTGAGTCTCAAAGCAGGGGGGCAGGCAGGTGATGGCAAGCAGGTGCTGGTGCTGCTTCTGATGATTCTGAGGACGAGCAGTGGTACAGCAGCAGGGCATACAGGTGAGACATCACAGGCGGAAGTGCAAAGCCAACAAATTCATCACCCGAAGGCTACAGTACTTGTTGTCAAGTATGGTGTTAGTAGCTCTTTCTTCTCAGTGGGGACATCCACCCTGGTCAGGATGGAGTGGGAAATGAATACTAATACTGAGATAATTCTGCAGGAAAACTTGCTGCCCTCCACAAAAGAGCTGAAGCTGAATAATTTTGCATTTCAACATGGCAAGGATGTGAAGCACATAGCCGAATCAAGCAGGACACGGCTGATAAGCCTCAAGTCCTGCAGAGGCCGAGTCAGTCATATAGAAAATCTGCGCACTGACCTAAAGCAGATGGTACACAAGGGGTCCTCCTGCAATTTGGGTACATTTCTTTCATTTTCTGCTACTCTTCTGCATGGAATAATGAGAAAAATAGTAAAATCCTGGTGTGGTAAATTTATGGAGATGTAGACTTACACAGGGTCACTTCTGCTATCAGAGCGGTAGAACACTCTGGGTATATAAATTTATGCCAGATTTTATTGGGAGGTCAAATTTTTATTACATACTATTTCTCTGTCTTTATAACAAAAATTTTGACTTCTAAATTTAATTATGTACGCATAGTTTACAATTATTTCTTTTGTTTTGAAAATTTTACAATTAAAGCTTTATTATTATATTGAAGTTGACACTTGGATTCCGCTTTAACAGGGAATTAATCCATGCATCTATAGACTATGACTGGGTGAATTTTTCTGTGTGTGAATGGGCAGCACTTTTGGCTCACACCTCCCGGCTTGGGTATGTTTGAATGTTGCCTCTACTGTATGTATGTGTGGAATTTCTATGTTCTTTAACATTTGCCTGGCTGGTCTAGTTTCCCCCTGCAGACCAAATGCATAAGTTAGGTAAAATTCCCTGTTTTGCATTTCTGTGTGCTGTAATGGTCCAGTACCCCATCCTGGGTGTAGCCCTGCCTGGTGCCCTATATTACCTGGGATAGACACTGGGTCCCCTATCACCCTGTGCTAGATTAGGTTTTGGGTGGTGGTTAATTATAATGGTTTAAATTGATGGATGTATTGCTGTTGGTCTGTTACCAGGCTTCAACTGTCTCTCACATGACTGCAGTGAGGAGTGTTAGATTTCAAAGTCAAAGTTTTATTTGTCACATAGTTATACTCAGTACAGTATACAGTGAAATACATTGTTGTCCCAGACTGTGAAACAGTGGACATATGTATGAACGAAATAGGTATCAAAGTATATACTCTTAAGTATAAAGAGACCAGACATAGGGCATTAAACAATAGATATCAAACAATAAAGTGCAGGGTGGTGTGTGTAGGAGGGTGATCAGAAGGTCATTGGTTCAAATCCTGTGGTTGGCAGAGTGATGTCATTGTTGGGCCCTTAAGCAATGCCTTTAATCCCAGTTGCTCTAGGGTTGACCCTGTTCACTGATCCTCACTTTGGACAAAATAAGACAATGTAATGCAATGCATATAGTTAAAGTGTGAAAGTCTGTGTTCCTAAGATTTCTGTGTCTACAGTGTAAATCCAGGAGTGCATTGTGGTGATGGGTGATTAATGTGTGAGGAGTGAAGTGAATAAACCAAGACATGTACATTCCCACGTATCCCTGTACATGTAGACGTCTGTCACCTTTGGCAACATTTGCAGGGATCAAGGTAGATTTGGTTAAACAACAAAAGAGCAGCAAATCGCAGTTTTCTTCCAGTTACGGGGGGCTGATGACAGCAAGCGCGCATTCGAAGCGAGGCACCACGCACTCTGGGAGCTCATTACTGCATGCTCGGAGCTGGAAAATTCCCTGACTGTAGGGATCTCTGAGCCAGCTCGCTGAACGCAGAGCCACTGGGGGGAAAGCCTGGGAGCAGCTTGGCTCCGCTACACCATCATGACAGCCTCTCATGGCACCTCCATCTGCCCCCCCGTCCCCTGGCTTGTCTGCAACTGGATGATTAAAACACAGCTGCCCACCTACGCCTTTAATTGCTGCGCTCCACGTCACTCCCTATATATGCCTCTCACTCACCACATGAAAACAAACAGCTCCCGTGGCTCTGGGGGGATTATGTCATCGCATGTGCTCTCATGTGCCTCACATCTGATTGGCTGGTAGATCGCTACACTTCATTGAAGGCCGCTGATGTTCTCAGTGGTGCCATTTTCATGTCCTTCTCATCCCTGCTTTACGTAATCGAAGTATCGCCATCATTTGTTTTGCATAAGCGTGAACAGGATAAATTTAGACATGGTCTACATTATCTCGCTATTATTATTTAATATTGTTCATCTATGGCTAATTCATATTAGCATCCATTCCAAGCAAATGCTTTTATTCAACTTGTGAAGCACAATCTATTTGTTTTGCTGAAACGTAGTTAGTGATGTAGCCTCACACCTCCTGCTCCTCGGCATGTCTGCAGTTTGGATGTCCTCCCTGTGTCTCTCTGGGTTTCCTCCAGCTGTCTTGGTTTCCATCCCGTGATGGTCTAGCTGTCCCTCTGAATAGGCTCCAGGTTCACTGTGACCCCGTGCTGGATGATTTGTTGGAAGATGGTCGAATGGGCAAAGTGATCGTGTTGATGGTGACAGAGTCGTAATTTGAACCCCTACACTGTCGTCCACCTTCCTTGCAGAGCCGGAGCCCACGACACTCTCATTCCACCCAGTCTGGCCTGGCTGACCAGGCCGCCAAATTGTCCTACGCCTCGGCCGAATCCCTGGAGACCATGTCGGAGGCCGAGATCCCATTGGGCTTCAACCGCATGAACCGGTTACGGCAGAGTCTGCCGCTATCACGCTCTGCTAGCCAGACTAAGCTGCGGTCACCAGGTTGGGCCCCCCCCCACAACACTGAATGCCTACATTTAAGCAGAGTCACGTTTTCAAGTGTGTTGACTGTTTTTATGCTTTCCCCCTGTCTCTAGGTGTCCTCTTCCTGCAATTCGGGGATGAGACGCGGCGGGTGCATATCACCCATGAGCTGAGCAGCCTGGATACTTTACACGCGCTCATTGCCCACATGTTTCCCCAGAAGCTCACCATGGGGATGCTCAAATCCTCCAACACAGCCATCCTCATCAAGGACGAGGCACGCAACATCTTCTACGAGCTGGAGGACGTGCGAGACATCCAGGATCGCAGCATCATCAAGATCTACCGCAAGGAGCCCATCTACGCTGCATACCCTACCGCCCACTTAGCCAATGGGGACCTGAGGGTGAGTGAGAGGGGCGGGACCCATTATCAAATAGCCATAAAGCACCTATCAGAGTCTAAAATGTAATGGCTGAAGAAAAAGTAATGATTGTTGGGAAGAGAATTTGGTCTCTGTGTTCAAATCTTCGCTTTTGTTGACTGCAGCTTCCATGAGCTTCAGAGTGTTTTCATCAGCGTTATACTTAACCTCCCATTTCATTCGAATTCCCATACAAATATCACTATACCATGAGCAACAGATCTTTCCATAGTGGTTTTCTTCCTTGTTTAATTACTTCACAGCTGTTATTTATTGTTGCTTGCTAAGTATTATGATACATTTAATAATCCAATTTTGGCATTAAAATTGTGTTTACGAAACTGAGCTACTGTGACAGTTCATTATGTATCGCTGGGTAACCAAATTAGTTTATTCCAAACCAGCAACCTGTTTGTGTTTTCCGCATCAGTGGGTCCTTGTAGTGCATGCCAATTCGCCTCCCTGAATCCGCATCTCTCTCAGATTCCCCCTTACTCCCATGCGTATCTGATGCCGGCCCAAAGCAAAGATCACTCAACCCAAAGATAAGGAGACCCACTTTCATTCTTTTACATGGCCCAAGTCGAGCTATTAAGTGTTTTCCCCCCTCCATCCATGTAAACTGTCTATACTTGAAAGAGAATCCAGGAAATCCCCTAGCAATTGAGCACTTTTGCTGTCTTCATTTGTGGCTCCCAGCATCCTTCTCTATGTGTTTTTGCTGATACATGAGAATTACTGAAAGCCCTCTGATGGTGGGGGGGGGGGGGGGGTGATTCAAGTGCGGTAATAATCTTGCGCAATCTTATTAGGCAGTTTAAACCAAGACCGGGGGAGCACTGGCAGCATAATGGGGGTGGAGGAAGAATTACAGGATTGAGAGAAGGAGAAAGTGGGGGAGAGAAGAGGTATTTGCCCATGAAAAGCAGGGGCTTGCTGCAGCCGGGGGTGTGGAAGATCGGGGTGGGTGTCCATATGGAGAATGTGAATGACAAAGTTGTGGTTCCAGCTTTCCTATTGTTCCCCTGTGAGGATGGAACTTGCTGTCCATTTGCACGCTTATTCTCTCGTCTCCTTTGCTGTCCCTTTTCATTCAATGATAAAGCGCCTTCATGCTGTGATAATGCCCCTCATTCTGTTATAATGACCCTTTATTATGTGATAATGCCCCTTCATTCTATGGTAATGCCCCTCATTCTGTGATAATGACCCTTTGTTATGTGATAATGCCCNTTCTATGGTAATGCCCCTCATTCTGTGATAATGACCCTTTGTTATGTGATAATGCCCCTTCATTCTATGGTAATGCCCCTCATTCTGTGATAATGCCCCATCCTTCTGTGATAATGCCTCCTCATTCTGTGATAATGCCCCGTCATTATGTGATAATGCCCCATCCTTCTGTGATAATGCCCCTTCATTCTGTGATAATGCCCCCTAATTCTGTGATAATGCCCCCTAATTCTGTGATAATGACCTTTTGTTATGTGATAATGCCCCTCATTCTATGACAATGCCCCCTCATTCTGTAATAATGCCCCTGCATTCTGTGACAATGCCCCTCATTCTGTGATAATGCCCCCTCATTCTATGACAATGCCCCCTCATTCTATGATAATGCCCCCTCATTCTGTGATAATGCCCCTGCATTCTGTGACAATGCCCCCTCATTCTATGACAATGCCCCCTCATTCTATGATAATGCCCCCTCATTCTGTGATAATGCCCCTGCATTCTGTGACAATGCCCCATAATTCTGTGACAATGCCCCCTCATTCTGTGATAATGCCCCTGCATTCTGTGACAATGCCCTCTCTATCTCCCCTTTCAGAGGGAGATGGCATTCGCCTCCCGGGAGTCGTCGCCAACCCGCCGTCTTAACAATGCCCCCCCTTCATCCTCGCCCCCCTCGGGCTCACCCTCCCGCTCCCGCCTCTCCTATAGTGTTGGCCGCCCCCCCTCCTTTGCTGGTCCCGGTCATGCACCCCCGCATCCCCACCACCCACTGGTGGCGCACACCCAGGCCGGCCTCTCACCCTCCCCAAGCGCCATCCTGGAACGGCGTGATGTCAAGCCGGACGAGGAGGTATCCACTAAGAACATGGTGCTGCTGAAGAACGAGGGCCTGTACGCCGAGCCCTATGGCCTGGTGCACGAGGGCCGCCTCAGCATCGCCTCTGCCCAGTCACTGGCCGTCGGCGACCCTTTCACCTTTCCCGTGCCGGGGGCGCTGTACCGCCGCGGCTCCGTGCGTTCGCTCAGCACCTATTCCACCGCAGCCCTGCAGGGGGAGGTAGAGGAGGCTCTCTACAAGTCTGGGGGCCCGCTGTACCCTGAAGCTTACGCCACACTGGGGATGGGCTTCCGCATGCCGCCCTCGTCCCCACAGAAAATCCCCGATGTGCGGGACCGGGACTCCTACTCGGGCTCGCCCAGCCGAGGGTCCCCTGTGCGCCAGGGCCTGCGGAAGGACTCCAGCTCCTCCTCCGTGTTTGCAGAGAGCCCCAAGTCTCGCACGGGGTCCGGCTCTGATGGGCTCTGTGGGGCCCTGGTGCCTGCAGGGGAAGCGGCCCGAGGAACGCCAGGGTACAGCTCGCCCCTTCCAGGCAATGAGGTGGACACACGGTAAGGGGCCCTGACCGTATTAACATGTCCGGGTCATTCACACTCTTGCGTCTGAGTGCTCAAGCTGAACCCACCCATCTTCCACCTGCTTTACCTGAGCTGGATCTTTGGCAGCCAGGAGTGTCTCCATGTCCTACCAGTGTTTGAACTAGATTGTCCGAAGTCTTGCTATTTAGGTAAAATAGTGTCTACAAATTATTTAGGGTGCCTAGTCTGAGATTATCTGTGTCCTGTCTTGGACTGGCATCCCATTTAGGGTACCCTATGCCTTGTGCTCTGTGCATTCTTCATTTGGCTACAGGATCAGTGCTTTCCTGCTTTGGATAAGCATCTATTAAACATATGACTGAATGAATTGATATTTTGTATTATTTAATACAGTAAGACCTCAGATTGCGAGTAACTTGGTTTGCAAGTGTTTTGCAAGACGAGCAAAAATTTTAAATAAATTTTAGCTTGATAAACGAGCGAGGTCTTGCAATACAAGTACTGCGTATACGCTTTGTCTGGCTAGCAACACGTAATCACAACTGACCCGATGGTTCTTCTCTCTTGCTGCGGGATTGTGGGTAATCGTTTCCCATGCTTGGTCTCAGTCGGAGTGCCTCATTCATATAGTCAAAATTTAGTAGAAAAGCACCACCCGAATAAGGGCGTAGCAGTGCGACCGATGAATCTGTTTAACGACAATGCAATGTCACATTTCCACGAAATGGAAAAGGAGGCAAAAGCGGTTAGGTTCCTTGTTAAAGTCGCACAAAGAGAAAAAGATTCCAGTGAGCTAACAGATGGCTGTGATTCCGTTACTTATAGTTATAGTCGTCCTACAAAAAAACCCTCCTCTTCTCCTCTCTCTCGTCTCCCTCACACCATCCATGATTCTTTTGAAAGGTAGAGTACACGTTAATTTATTTTATGTATTTTTACTTTATATTTTGTATGAATCATTTTTATATGAATATTTTTGGGTTGTGGAACGAATCATATGAGTTTTCATTATTTCTTATGGGAAAATTCATTTTGATATATGAGTGCTTTGGATTAGAAGCACGTTTCCGGAACGAATTATGCTCACAATCCTAGGTTTTACTGTATATGATTTTATATATAATTCTTTTAAAAGTATGAGGATGTATATATTCTCAGTTTATGTCATTCCACTGTATAACCACTCTGCCTGGGTTATTTGCTTTCCAGGTATCCAGTGTAGTGGCTGCAAACAGTCTTACAAGCTGTACTGCATACACAGTTGTGCTTTCTGCCCCAGGTGTATCCACTGATTTCAGGAATCGTGTTTCAGTCTCTGCCTCTTACATTACGGTAAAGGCCAGCCAAAAGTAACCTTAGCTTGTAAATGTTTTTGGATGTGTGCTGGCCAGGGAGCGGATGGAGGCGATGGAGAAACAGATCGCCAGCCTCACTGGTCTAGTGCAGAGTGTGCTGACCAGGGGTCCGGACAGTGACAGCACGTAAGTTTGTCATAGACACTGTCAGCACAAGAACAAGGAATTTGTTATGAACTAAATAAAGACCTAAGTAGCCTTTTCAGTCCCAGGAGAAATTACTGGTTCAGAGACATAACCAATCGGATTGTAGAGGAGGTGGCTCTATCAACTAGAGAAAGCAGAACATCTGATTAGTTGGTCCCACCTCCTCTAGTTGCTTGGAACCACCTACTCTGCAATCTGATTGGTTATCTCCCTGAACCAATCATTTTTCCTTCTGCCCTCAGAACATTTTGTGTAAGTAAAACTCCCATGAGCAGTGCTGCTGTGCAGCTGATGCAGGGAGAATCTGCTTGACGTGTGCTTTCCTGTATGAAGGAAACATACTCATGAATAGTGATAATTTATTAAAAACTCTAACTTTTCAGTTGTCCTCCATTCACAATACACACAAATGTGCACCTATCGCACTGAGCCCAATACAGATATGTGTTTTTGTAAATAAGTAAGTATACCAAATTAACACATATAACATAACATGGTTAACAGGAAAGTTTTGAGTTCCTTCTCTTCCTACACTTCATTCATGAACAGGTAATTTACCATCCACCACACCCATGTGACATGTCATGTGACTGACAAATATGGCTTCTACACACGCCTGTGATTGTTTGATTGAGTGAATAGCCCAGCGAAAGCTCTTCCCCCAGCATATCCAGGTGGTGAGGACCTCACTGCTTTCTGCTTCCCTTCCAGTGAGAAGACTGAATCCACTAGTGACTGTTCAGGCACAGGAAGTAAGTACGGTCCCTGCTCTCCATCTACATCCCAGCTTTGCAAAGCACTTCTTTTTGCTCAGTTTACTTTTTATTGGGAGGGAATCATCACATGCTGCTTAACTGATAGGAGCCATTAGCATTTTCAAATCCATTGTCTGGAGGCTGTCCTAAGTTTTCCATGCATCTCTGTTTACCATGAATCCTTATTCATATATATGGCCCCTTGAAGTGGTTTCACAGAGCTGTTTGAAATGGAGTTTTCGACTGAGGGAGGTGTCATATATTGGAAGGGGGAACTTTCACTGTGCTTCCTTTGGACCGCTCTCCTCTGATTGGCTCTGCTCCCTTTTTTAGACCCGAGACATAAAAGCTTGACGTAAGTGAATCTGTGCAGACTTCTTCTCACAGGCTGGGCAGTTGAAGCTCTGCCTAGACAGATTTTTAAACAAAGTTGCCTTTCTTCTGGCACTTCACAAGAGATCAGCGAGCAGGGAGAGTTTCGGTGTGGATAGCAGCACCCTGTCCGGAAATTCTTGACAAGCACACGTAGAGCTGTCTCGATAGAGAGACAAGCTTTTATTTTTTGTTTTGTTTTTTGTAACAAGCCGATTCCTTCTTTGTTTCAGCTGGACGCCTTAAAAAGCGGAGAGGTATCTATTTCCTTTGTTCATGCTCCAGTCTGTCTAAGTGCAGTTGTCTCTTTTGATGGCTGTCCTGATTTGTGCCTATTCATCTGTATGTTTCCCTTTCACTCCTGTTTGTCTTTGGGAGGAAGGCTGTGCTCTTTCTCACTGTGCTATGGGACATGAACAGAGCAGACTACTGATGCTCAGGGGGTGATTTGTAGGCCACTCCAGTGTCTGAGAGGCAAGGTCTTAAGGCAGGCAACCCCCCCCCCCCCACCCTTCATCATCCTACTTTCAACATCCATATAGAAATCAGCCCTTGTTAGCTTCTTTAATGAAAAATGGGACTCCTGTTCTACTGCGTGCTTCAGAAAGCCATTTGTTAGACTTGTAAAAGTCGATTTGAGCATCAAATGGATACTAGCACTTGTGTTTGTCTGTCTGTTTTTGTCTCTAGTTGTGGTTTTAATCTTAAATTTATGTCTATTGCTGCTACTAATCTGATGATGGTATGACCCCCCCCCCCTCACCACCACCATGCCAAACCACAGGGCTGTCTTCCACAGTTCACATGCTTTCTCTTACTCTGGGTGCATATTGTGAGCCCCTGTCTGCTCATGCCCCACTTGTACTTAATCCATGGTCTGCCTTGTGAGAGTAGAAATGCCTTCCTTGTCAAGGCATTCTCCTTGATCTGTTTGTGTTGATTTGTGGTCTTGACTCTGTAGATCAGGTGTCTCCAACTCCGGTCCTGGAGAACTACTGTCCAGTAGGTTTCTATCCTACCTGGCTTCTGATGAGCCACACCTGTTCCTGGTATTTACCTGAGAGCATGTGTGGCTCATCAGAAGCCAGGCAGGATAGAAAACCTACTGGACAGTAGCTCTCAGTTGGAAAGCCCTGCTGTAGATCCTGCGTGACATGATGTGATATTGAATGAAAGCCAACCAGGTGTCTTTCAACAACCCAACTAACAATAATATCTCACTGTGTATGCTACCCAGTCCCAGTGGCGATCCCGAAGACTGTCCTGATATTAACTGTTGGTTATGGCTTAATATATAGGGGGTTCGAAGCATTTTGTCTGTGTGTTTGTCTGTTTGTAACCCTGTTCCATATGTGTTAGCTTAAGGATAGCATTGGTTTCATGTCCGGTGATCCCTGTCCTGTCCTCTCCCCGCCAGCTCTGACACCCTCCGCTCCTTTGGCCTTGATGCCACCTCCTCCAGCCAGCGCCACGCAGGCGACCACAGTCTCTCGTCTGCAGATGCAGCTGCACCTGCACGACCTGCAACAGAATGCCACCGAGCTGCGCGACCAGCTGTCCCAGCTGCGCAAGATGCAGGTCAGAGATCACCTGCTGCCGCACGGCAATCGTCAAAATATTTATTCCACTTAAAGGAGGCCTACCTTAGCTTTTTATAGCTAATCAAATTGTAGGTGGTGTATTTGCATTTAATTATAGTTATTTCATGATAACAGCAGGTAGAAAGAAATCTTCTCTTGTAAACAGGATGTTTCCCACACATTTGTCCCTGGATAAATATAGCTTGAAACAGAAAAGAGTGAAGTCAGGTCAATTAAGCAGCAGTTTCACAATTCCCTGGGAATCCAAAGGTGCCTGTTGAAACGAGAAGCGTTCCACCTCCAGGAATACCATGAGAGGAAGGGATTGGTGAGAAGCATCAGATGTGCACAATGACAAAAGAGACTACACTGATATCTGGCTGGAATCTGACACTGCAGTCAGGAGCTTTTAATTGAACAGATGGTGAGTGGCTCAGTGAGTTAGGATAGTGTGGCTGTGATTGGAAGGTCAGTGGTTTAGATCTCTGGGTCGGCCAAATGACTTTACTGTTGGGCACTTGAGGAAGGACCCAGTTGCTCCAAGGACTGGCTGGTTCTGTTTTTTCAACGGCACATTGCTTTGAATAAAAACATTTGCCAAACAAATAAAATATTCTTTTAAATTGAAAAAATCTTGCAACCATGATGCAGAGATGGGGCCATCACACCTGCTCTGAGTTTGACAACTTGTGTCAGAAAGGCGGAAATGTTGATGGGACCAGGGGGACGTTTTGGTAGTTCAAGGAACTTCAGTAGAGCAGTTGATGTTTCAGAACTTCATCTGTGGCTCCAGGTTAGAGGCATCAGTTGCATGTCTGCACAGGAAGCAGGCAGAGGATAAGGGCTGATGCAAGTGAATCAGGGTTCAAATCAGTGTTTGCTCTCCCAGTGCCAAGGATTAAAGCGTGCTTGACATCCGGAGATGAGAAAAACGCAAGATTTTTATCAGATGTTTTTATCTGCAGCAAGTGAAATGGCTTGCATGTTTCTGTTTAATCTAGTTCTACAGTTGGGTATTTTTTCCTGAATTCAGACTGAATGCCTTTCATTTGACCTAGCTACTTTAAAGCCCCATGCCCAGATTATTAGCCGTGTGAGTGCCACAGTATTAATTGCTATTTTCACAGTTATTGCTGTTCTGTGGAAAAGCTTGTGTTTACATATCATGAATAATTCATGGCAGCAGTAAATACTGCAAAGGGAGGAGCAGATTCGGTGCATAAGAGGGGTGGGAAGGGAAGTTGGGCTGGGAAGGGAAGTTGGGGTGGGAAGGGAAGTTGGGCTGGCAAGCCGCTCGATGAGAAACGTGTTTTTTTTTACTGTAACTGTCTTCCAGTTGGGTGTCAGCAGCCAAGCTTTGCTCCATCCTTAGATTTCAGCTCTTTCTTTTTTATCAGCCTCCTCTCTCTCTCTCCGGCCCGCTGGGCTCACGGACGGTCAGGCTGTCAGCTCTTGCTACACTCATGGCCCAGCTGCTGGCTAGGCAGGAGTCCCAAGTCCCTTCCACAACAACTTCCTGTCTGGCAGGATATTCGCTCTGCACCAGCTGGGCTCCAGGGGGCAGCTAGTGTTGGGAGAAAAGGCCAACCAGCTGCTGGCTGATTTTAGTTAAGAAACACACCGGTCAGGGGTCAATGGACACACAGCCCTCCTTTAAATGCATCACACCCTAAAAACTTAATGTTTATTATTAGGTAACACTCTTGCCTACGTGCACCTGTGTCCGTGTACTGTGATGTTGCACGATGTGCCCTCATTATGAGTCATTATACGCTGCTTTAGGAAGGCACCATGCAGAGTGGAAATATGCCGTGTGACGTATGCATCAGGATGCACAGGCAGTTCGGCACAAGCATCCCCAGAAAAACACAAGGACAAAGACAGTCATGCTCCAGTTATGGAGATGCTGTCCTGTGACTGGAAGCAGGCCATTACAAGGTGGAGCAGGTTGAGTCAGCTTTGCATTTTGACCATCTTACAGAAAGGCAGGACCAACAGTATCTACACAAAAGCACATGGACTCACACACCTGCTTAAGAGTCCCAAATATTATTGCTTTCATATCATCCCAACTGTAGATGAAAATACAAACATATTATTATTGTATTTATATTTTACTACATAAGGCTCTGCTGTACTGTTCTTATATATTGTAGTGCATAATCTTTATGAATGTTAGCCGTTAGATGTACAATCACGTGTACTTGATGTACGCTCACGCATTCTATCGGTATACTATAGAAGTGATCAAATTGTCCCTAAATGTATGTGCACACTCAGCTCCAGAACCAGGACTCGGTGCGATCACTGCTGAAGCGGACAGAGACAGAGATCAGCGTACGGCTGACGGATGCCCTCCGTAAGCAGGAGGACCCCCTGCAGAGACAGCGCCTCCTAGTGGAGGAGGAGAGACTCAAGTACCTCAACGAGGAGGAACTTGTCATCCAACAGCTACAGTGCGTTGAGAATCCCAACAGAAACAGAAATACAGAGACATTCTGGGCTTCCTCTACTGTGCAAAGCAGAAGTACTTCTTTTCCAGTTTTGCTGGATGAATTAAATTTACATATCATTTCAGTTCATCCTTCATATATCTGGCAGATATTACAGATTCAAATTGTTCAAATGTCCTTGAACAGTGCCTGACCTAGGATATTAGTTTAGTTTCCAAACCACATCCTGTAAAACTTCTTAGATGTATCACATTTTATTTTGGATTTCCCATATTAGATGGTGCAGTCTCCCATAGCTTTGTGTGTGTGGTTGCAGTGATTTGGAGAAGTCAGTGGAGGAGATCCAGAAGGACTCATCGGTGAACCAGAAACTCGTGACAGTGCAGGAGCTTGAAGAAAAGACTGCAGCACTGAGGAAGCTGGGAGAGACCCTCACAGAGCTAAAGAGTGAGTCACGATGCAGTTGGCAACCTACTGAGATGATGTATGAGGAGACTCTTACAGGGTCTATTGGCATGCTGCAATAGACTGAAATGCTGCCATACCTTGAGTTGAATCGAGATTTGCTCAGTCAAACAGTTACTCTGAGACACCCCGGGGTGTGCTGGGATACATTAAAATACTGTCATTCTTAGGGACGATCTGAAACACATATCCCAAGGAAAGCAGTGATCCACTCAGAAAGGCTGAGTCACACATGCATGGAAAATTACAAGAAATACTGAATTATACTAATTTAAGCCCATAATGCAATGCACAAGTGACATGATTAAATGCAACATGTGCACTTTGTTTTTCCATTTCCTGCTTTGTAGACCAGTTCCCCAGCCTGCAGAGTAAGATGCGTGTAGTGCTGAGGGTGGAGGTAGAGGCTGTCAAGTTCCTTAAGGAAGAGCCACACAGGCTGGATGCTCTGCTGAAGCGGTGCAAGACCATCACTGACACACTGGCCACGCTGCGCAGGTATAGCAGGCGGCTGTGAGTTGCCTCGGGGGGTGGACTTTTTGGGGGCTGTAGGCAGTCTTTTTGGGGTGGGGGGGGGGGGTTAGCTCTTTTTGGTCTATGAATGCGTTGATCCAGAAGTGTCTCCTCTCTCAGCCGGCAGCTCCACAGGCTATGATGCTCCAACGGGCTCTGCTCCCCCCACTCATGGTAACCCTGTTTCACGTGTCCTGCATCCCCATTTTCAGGCAGACGAACGAGGGAATCTGGAAGGCTCCGGAGGAGTTTTCCAGTCAGTCCCCCAAGCAGGCGAGCGATTTCAGCAAAGCTACTGACTTCGATATTCCAACAAGCCCACCCTTAAACTTCAACAGCCTGGGGGGGAACGTTAGCTTGTCTAGCTGGACTCCCCACTTGGGCTTGACTCACGGCAACCCTACCAGCCCCCATCATGACCCACTGGCACCCACGTCCCTCAAGAATCGGGCCCTGGAAGAGCTGTCGGGCCGCCGCAGCACAGAAAAATCGGTGTCCGTGGAGGTTAGACTGGTACTGGGAACCTGTTATCATGTGCTTATAGCTGTGTGTTGGTGTACATCTACCTGAGCCTTATTATCTATGTGCATCTCATTTACCATCTTTATTGCCCAGGTCTATCATGTGTCTGCTTCGTGTGCTTGTTTGCTTGTTTTTACATTGCTGTTTTGTCTGTGTCTACTGTTGAGTGTGTGAATTTGGATTTCGCTGCCTACAGCAGACCTATATTGTTTCATCACACCTGCTTGTTTGCACCTAACTTGTGTTTGGTTGGGAGCTCAATAGAAGAGATGACCCTTTATATGTTATGTATTTTGTAGGCAGCAGAACGGGACTGGGAAGAGAAGCGGGCCAGCCTCACCCAGTACAGCGCCCAGGATATCAATCGGCTGCTGGAGGAGACCCAGGCTGAGCTCATGAAAGCCATTCCTGACCTGGACTTTGCAGCCAAGCAGATCAACAAGCCTTCAACGGCCAACGCATGCGAAAGCGCCGGTAGCACGCCAGAGCACCGTCCCAGCAAACCCCAGCACACAGCTCAGAAGCTGGCTGGCAAGGAGGCCAGCTTCTGTCGGGGATCTGGTGAGTCAGCTGAACTGAACATCACCTCATATATCTGGAGTTGGACAACAAGAAGAAACTGGGTAGACACAGATAGCAAACTACAGAATGAACATTAATCACAAAAAAGTAACCCTGGTAATTAAACTTTGATTGATACATAGTTTCACTACCGCACTATAACAGACATGGAGTTTGTGGTTACTTCTGCACTACGCACACTGAAATATTCATAGGTTCCTTCAGATGTCCCATCTTCACGACTTGAAATCTTCATGTCAGAAAGGGTTCCTGTCAAGGATGTCAACGATCTGCCCACAGATGAGCTGACAGTTCCCCGCTATCGCACCGAGAAGCCCTCCAAGTCCCCCCCACCCCCACCCCCCCGGCGGAGCTTCCCCTCGTCCCACGGGCTCACCACCAATCGCACTGGGGAGGTCATCGTCACAAGCAAAAGTGTTAAGGTGAGGAGTGTGGGGCACTGCATGTTGGCACAGTGCTACTGATGGTGTCAATATAGTGACATCGCTCAGAAGTGTGACAGGCCTGAAGTGCGGAAGACAAATTCACATGCCATTTGGGGCAACAGCTTACATTAATATTCTGTCAATTCTTTGTCATTCCATGTTCATAATTCAATCATAAATCCATTCACTCATCCATCTCCCATAACCACTTATCTGGCGCCGGGTCAGAATGAGCCTGGAGCTTATCTCAGCAAGCACAGGGCACAAGGCAGGGCAGGCCCTGGATAGGATGCCACTTCATCACAGTCAGTTATAAAGCTATCTATCCATCATCCAGCCACGTCTCCTGAGCAGGGTTCTCTGGTTTCTGGAGCCTATCCTATGTAGCACAGAGATTAAGGTGGGGGAAGACCCTGCACAGGATCTCAGTCAATCTGAGAAAGTTCATGGAGACTATCCAAGGAAGCACATAGCACAAAACAGAGGAGCACCCTGCACAGAGTTCCAGTTCATCACAGTCATTTATGACTATATCTTTTCAGGATATTATTGAATTCTGGACAACTCACTATGAAGGACTGTAGGAATTAATTTTCTCTGTCCTTTCCAACACTGTGCCCTGGTGTGCAGAAGGCAGAATCGGAGGAAATGGAGACACCAAAACCCCATGTTAAGCTGAGAAGAGTCTCCTCAGAGGCACCACGGCCCTCCTCCACACCCCCAGTCATTGCTGCTTCTGGGGTGAGGGATGAAGATGATGAGGAGAAGATAATCGCTGAGCTGGAGGTAGGCTTGGAAGGGTCCCAATATTTCCCATAATCAAGTGACAGATTCTGGTGACACTGTACAGTGGGACATATTTGAAAAGACATAGGATATAACAGGGGTGCCGCATGCTTCTCATGAATGCTCTACTCATTTAGAAGTTGGAAATTCCATTAACTATATAGAGAAGTGGTTGACTTGGTAAATTTAGTTAGTTATTATCCAGAGCTTTATCTTGTTGACCTAACCCTGCGTAGAGTCAAGACCCCAAGCTGATATATCTAAACATGTTAAAATGTTGTATTAAACTAAGAACAAACTCCAGTCTCACATCTGTGCAAAGAATATGTCAAAAACTGAAGTAATTATTTTTTTCTTGAAGCGATTTTTAGAATTTCCTGATGAAGTTCATCACAGTTACGGTTTCTCATCTTAGATTACCAGAGAGTCATAAGTCAGTCCTTGACCACTATAATCAGCAAATGATTAACTGTCCTAAGGAATTTTCTTGTCCGGAACAGGGAAATGTATACACATCCTTTAAAAATGTCAATGTGTTTTGAGCTATCAAGCCAAAATTAGGACAACTGGAATGTGACATCCTTCTACCTTCTTTTGCAGTATTTTTACACACATCTCCAAGTGAAAAACAAGCACTTCAATAATCTCTTGTTTGAATTAAAAGGAAATAAAATGCAGACAATACAGGTTGAAGAAGTATACTGAAGTTAATTTAGTCTTGTGTCTTGAGTAACTGCTAGTCTGTTTTGGTAGGTCTCCATCAAGATTGCATAGTCTTGCAATATTTTTCTGTTCCCCCTCAAGAAACATCAAGTACTGTCCAGTTCATGGGAAACTGTCGTTAGACTCCCCTCCCCTCCTCGTGTTTTCAGTTGATGGTGATTTTGTAGCTGGGGGAGTAATAATGATCTGATTCATTTGGGAGTCCCGGGTTCAAGGGTTGACCTCCCCAGCCATAAATGCACCTTGAGGGGGGCTTGGAGGCTCAGTAGCCTCATTCATCCAAGACTGAGGCTTTGAATCTCGCCTTTATATATCCACACCATGTCCTTCTCAGAATTGCCCGTCGTTATGTCCTGAGATGAATCAGTATCCCATCCAGGAAGCTGTCTCTGCTTCTCAATCACCCTACAAGCGATATTTAAAGCCTTTGAAATCTTTTGTCTCTTACTAAAACTGTGTATTTCCACAGCCTCAATCTTCATTCACAGCAAGAGAATAATCAGATTTTTAGGTCATATTGAAGACACTTGGTCACCCAGACTTAATAATTGTTATTACTGCGGTGTTATATGCTTATTCAGGTCTCTTATTACTTTCACCTCTCACATAAGTGTTACCCATAACCATGTATAACCATGGGCAATAAATATGATGTAATCTCTTTCGTGTCAGACTGTAGATGCAACAAAAGTAGCTGAATTTTAAATGGTGTGTAGACTTTTTATCTGCATTCAATATGGTGCTCTGCCCCTTGTCAGAGGGTGAATGGCTTTCCTCTTATTTTTGGATCCGCTCACCGCATTTCCCCCCACCATCCACTAGGTGTTTCAAAGAAACCCAGTCAAAGTCAAAGTGTCCCCTCCCCACTCCCTGCCCAACACCTTGCTCAAGACCCGTGCCCCCCCTTCCAGCCTGGACCTGAGGTCCTCAGGGCCCCTGAGAAGGAAGGTAAACAAAAAAACCATGAGGCCTTTCTGGGGCACAGCTCCCGAGGTCCCTGTCTCTATCTTCCCCTGCTTGGGCTGTCCTCTCTCAATCATCACACTTAGACACAACTAATCTTAAAGCTGGTGGACCATGGGGGATTCCAGTCAGAGTCACGCTACCTAGGCTTCCTGTAGCAGCACGTACTTCTGGCTTGTGCACATCTGGTTTGAAGTGATGTGTATGTGTGCTTTTTCTTTCCAATTATAGCCATTGAAGCTGCTGAGTGAATGTGGGACTTCTGCCTTTGTTCACATCCAGCAGTGCCTGTGGCTGTAATTGGCACGAGCTGTTACAGAAAGGGAATCCCCAGATGATGCACTGTCACACCATCTTAGCTGGAAATGTGGCAGCAGTCACAGAGCCTCTCTGGTCCAGCATGTTTCTGTGCCGAGTTCTCCCTCGACACTTATTACCTCACCTAACTGTCTAGGATTCCACCAGCTAACCGCCCTAGTGACGCTGTAGTTCATCCTACATAACAGCCAGAACCTCTTCCTGAGTTCTAACTAATTTAGACTCTAGTCACTGTATTCACCAGGTACTGGAAATTATGCTTTTTCTGGAACTTAAAGGACTCGCTTCCATAGGATTGCAGAGTGATGCGTCTCCTGTTGTGTGCTTGTGATGGGTGGAGGCTCATTGAATGTCTCAGGAAATCAGTATCTCCCATATCCTGTCTTTGAGTGCCAGACTGGGGCCCGGCTTGATGAGGTAAGGTCATGGGAATTGAGTGTGGCGTCAATGGCCGGGACAATGCGTGTGAGGAGTTGCAGCTGCTCTTGCGTGCAGTGTGCTGCATGCTGCCATGTGGGTTGCACTGACAGCATGCTCCAGTGACCTGCAGAGGCTGTGCCTCGCTGTGTCCTCCAGTTATCTGCAGCCTCTCTGGACCCCTCTGGCCTACAGTTGGAGTTGGGCCAATGCCCAAGTGAGCGAAGACCTAGTGCTCCTATATTAGCTACACAGGTACGACTCTCACCCGGTCTGCCCTCCTGCTATCATCACAATGTCTTATATGCTATTTTGTTCCATCAAACACAGGACAGGGTGTCGATGCTAGTTTGATGTTGTCTTTGTGAGTACCAAAGCTTACAGCATCAAATGAACAAGAGCCAAATCCTTCACGAACATCAAAATTCATAAGTGCACGTTACGTTACGTTACGTGAACCGTTACGTTAATTTATCTGTTAGTGCAGCTGTAAACAAGCCAGGTCTGATAAAAAGATACTAAGAATGTAAGAACAGGAGACAGGATGTCTTTGTTCAGAGTGCTGCTTAATCGCAGGACTATTCTGTGCTCAGTCAAAATTCATGTAGAACGCCTGCAAAATTACACAGTCAATTCCTGTGCTGCACCACTGAAGGGAAAGAAATAGCTTATGAATGAACTCTGAAGTGAATGATCATTACTTGACTTAGTTGTTATACCTGTATAGTAGTCCTGGAAACAGCATGATTGGCACTGTGTGGCTCAGTGGGCTAAGCCTCTGTACCTGGTATTGGAAGGTCGGTGGTTTGAGTCCACCTTGGTACATCTGTGTAACCTTGAGCAAGGCCCTTGACCCCCCAGCTCCCTGGGCACTGTTATGGGTGGCTGCCTTCCATAGCCAGCTTGCACTCACCTACTGAGAGCAAGATGGGGGAGGTGTAAAGACAGGGATCAATAAAGAATGAATTATTATTGACTGTTTTGGCTTGTGATTAATATTTATTAGATTAATATTAGTGATGATAGTTTTGTAGTTATTCCTTATGGATTATTTCTTACATGGTTCACCCGAGTAATCTTCTGATTTTATTGACAGATCACACCAACCAGTCTTTCATCCAGTCAGATCCCTCAGATTGTGCTAACTGACTGGTCTTCTGCCCCATCCTCCCCTTCTAAGAGGTCAGGCACAGAAAGGGAGGATGGTGGACATGTACTCAGAGCTATGCAGGCCAGAGGAAAAGAGTCCAGAAGCATTGTGAGCCCTCAGCAGGCATCTAGTGTCATTGTAGATGGCCTTGGACACAGAGCTCAGGCACCAAGCGTTACAATGAGGCCAGTGGTAGCCACAGCTTTACCCCGTTGTCAGAGGCCCCGTGTGCCCCAACCTCAGAAGAAGCCCCAGAATTGGGAGTTGAGGATCCAAGAGTCCTTTGAGGAAACAGAGACTGAAAATGATAAGGAAGAGCTGGCCCTACTCCTCACACACCAAGAATTAAGGGTGCTATCCAGTAGTGAGGCCAAAGATCTCACTAAGCAAGGATGGCAAGGCTTACAGACACTGACCCTTCCAGTCCAACCCCAAGACGATACATCTGACCTCAAGGCACAAGAAAAAAATACCTACAGACCTAATCTAGACAGTAGCCCTTTAGTTCTGCTTTTCAGAGAATGTTTGGAAGTTGAAGAGGCCTTTCGACAACTAGAAGCACTATTAGATGAGGAGAATCCCACTGAAAATGGAAATTTTGAGTCTGACATAAAGTCTGACCAAGCAAGTCATGTGGGCAAGCCAATACCTAAACCCAGACTTACCAGACCAATGGATCCTTGCAGGGCAGGTTCAAACCCCAGGATCGCACTTCCCAGAGAGAAGCAGGAAGCACTGAAGGAAGCAGTGAAGTGGGGGCTTCAGACAGGACAAAGGACCCTGAAGTTTTCCCATGATGCTGAAAAGGGTATTAATGGGTCAGCTAAACAGCTGGACAAAGGGAAACCAAAATCACACACCGGTGTCTGTGAATCCGGATCCGGTGCTTTACTCAGTGCCCTGCCAAGCGTAGCTGGAGAGGGACAGTCCCGGAAGGTCCAAGCACAGGCTTTGCGCTGCAATACCTACCAGCGGCTGGACAGCCTGGAGGAATCCATCCGTGAGCTGGAGAGCACGCTGCAGGAGTTCAGCAGCAAACCTTCCCTGGGCGATTCCATCGCCACAGACTCCTTGGCAAACCTAAGTGCATCAGCAGTGAGTAGGAATGTTGTAGAACCACTTGCTGAGATCACAAAGACAGAAACCACTTCTCCCCAGGCCTCCCCAAAAAGAAAGCCTGCAGTTCCACCTAAGCCCATGGAGCTCCCAGAACAAATGACTAAGGTCCACTCACCAATTCTTATTTTCTTTTGATTACTTACGGTTGCCTGTTTTTCATCCCATGATTGGCTCTGTCCGTGGAGTTGGGGATCTTCCATTTCTCTGATTTCCTCTTGTCTCATGCATATTTCTCCCTGAGTCACAAATATGCTGTTTTTTTTTTTCTAGCCGCAGTTCTATCTTGAAGTGATGGATTTCTTGTAACTTCTTTCTGAAACTACATCTTTAAAGAACTGCACATCTGTGTGTGAATTTCAACCTTTCTCCAATACTTTAGGCAAATAATTTCTGTACTCAGGTAAGATATTCTTGTAAAGCTGCGGTGTGTCTCCATCCTTAGAAAGGTTACCACGGGCTGTTTCTCAATAAACTCTTCTCTTTCTACTCTTCCCTTTCATGGGATGCAGTGTCCTGATTTTATTCCTTCATCCACTCAGAAGTTTTTCTGTCAAGCATCCATCTATGAAGCATCCCTCACCTTACCAGTTATTCGTGGTTATGGTGTAGAGGATTTGTGATTTATTGTAGCTTATAGATTTATTGTGGCTTATTGTAGATATCAGCTTATTCTGTTTAACATTACTGTTTAGGAGGCCGTGTTATTTGCATGATGTTCTCTGAGGCTTATGTATAAAGGGAGGCCATTAAGATATATATAAAAATGGGCATGTAAATGCAGAGATGCAGCAGGTTGTGTTGGGGCAGCTGTCATATCCATTGTTTATTGAAAAATAGTGAACAGTGTGGGGGGGGGGGCTATTTGTGCAGAACTTTAGAACAGCAACAACAGGAAATTTATTCAGAAATATATGCATTTTCCTGCATTCAAATATAAATCCCCACTTTACATAATGTTAAAATCAGGTTATAGTCAAATACTTGAAGTTAATATGACATTTTTTAAGCTAGTATTGATGATGGCTTTCTGCTATTGATGTCAATGTTCAAAGTACAGTGCCGTGCAAATGTCTTTGGCAGTCTAAAGAAATGTTTAAAGCTATTTATCTGGGTAATAGGTGCACATTTGCTCAGAACAAAAAACAATTTAACATTAGGCTACAACATATGCAAATTGAGCATAACAAAATAAAAACTAGTATCAATTTCTTCTGTTCTCCAAAAAGTCACTGATATCTAGTTGGATGGCTAGATGAACAACACTTCCGTTCCCAAACCTCTCCTCAGGGGCACCTCAGCCATTCCATGTATTTATTAAATTTTACCACCAGCTCAATTAATTAAATAAATTAGTTTATGACAAAGTCAATGAGGTATTGACTAGCTATACCAGGTGTGCCCAGTGGTCAAGTCAAAAAATACATGGGTGCATTGAACGGTTGCTGGAAATAATGGGGTGATTTTGGCAGAGGTTTTGAAATGGCTAAGCTAACACACTTTTACAGGCATAATAGCATAGTTTTACACCAACATAAAGATGATTTAAACTTCATTTTTTTGGCTGCCTAAGACTGTATATTTCAGCAGAAAATAATTAGTCATGATTTTAGTGGAAGAGAAGAAGAGCGCAACCGTATTTCCCCACACTCAGTTTGTGAAGTTAACGAAGTGTGAAAGGTTTCTGAATTTCGTAATCAAAGTATCTATACATCACCCTGTCCATTTATGTTCATGATATACCACCAAAGTTATATTTTTTCAGTATTAATTACAGTATTAATAAACCACTGCTACTGTACTGTTAAGGTTTGTTTTTCTAATGTGATTATTTTTTTGCCATCACAATCCACGGCCTTGAGTGATGCTTTAATCAGAAACAGAGTCAGCCAATCAGGTGGTTTTAATGTCACTTCCTGCAATCGCTTCTGCACTCTGTCGTCATAGAGTCAACAATTATTTTCTAAAATAATTTTTTACTTTGTTCCATTGCCCATTTCTCCCTCACCCCCTTCAGGATGGATTGTAAAAAGATTGGGATTTAAAGATAGTGCCAGCTACATAACAGAGCCTTAAGGACTCACGTCCAAACATTTCTGTTTCAGTGAAGATACGTCTGGTGAGAGTAAAATAAAAAAGTGTTTTGTTTCAGTAGTCTCCAGCCCTCTAACTAGCTATTATGTAATATGTCAAATAAAAATCAAGAGCTTTTTGGTTGCGATAAACTCAGTGAACGGAGCCAAAAAATATAAGATAACGATAAACCTTTTAAAACCCCCTAGCGTCCATGCATTATATTAATATTGGAATTACTTGTATGGTTTGTCATAAAATTAGCTAGCTTTGCGGCGGCTAATTTTAAGTTAGCTAACCCTGTGACCATTTCTTTACATTACTATCCCTCAGGTACTTCCCCATCCTGGTTAAAATCACACAAATCCAGCCTGGTTCCACTTAGTACTGCATGTTTCAGACTAGTAGTTCCTCACCTGGCCTTGTTCTTTCTTGATATGACTAAGGGGGAAAAAATGACGCTAATATTAATGTGCGAGGTGGCCATCACGGCAAGTGGCAGTATGATTTGCGTGAGCTCACTCCCTCACGTGGCCTCCCCTTTTACTGCAGACCAGCAGCGGCTTCTCCCCCAGCTCTGGCAAAGGCCCCCACCCCACCGCCACCTCACGCCTCAAGCACTTGCAGCAGAGCAATCCAGAGAAGGGCAAGCCGGCCAAGCAGCGGGAGGACTTCCTCAAGGTCCAGGGCCAGCCGCAGGTATTTCACTTCTAACGGCCCTTCCGCTTTCCACCCTGATGCTGTCACCGGCGTTTTACCTGTCGCACCCTTGCCGATTCCTCTGCCCCACTCCGAAACCCTCTGTCGCCCCGTGGTGCTACCCGTTCACGTCAGACTGCAGAAGGACGATGTTCTGCGCTAGCGGGCGTTCGTCACGTATGTTGGCGACGTGCTGGCACAACGAAGGTGCTCACGTTCACTAGGTGGTCGCTCGTTGACAGTGCCCAGCGCTACCCAGTGACGTACACGTTGTACCAAACTCCTTCCAAACCAACAGGAGTCAAAGCGACGGCAGTTGGGTGATCTACTATTGTGACGGATGTTTAATGAGGGAGGACTGGTCAACTTTTGGGGCTCCTCTACTATGCCAAGTAAGCTGAATGCTGCCAAGTGTGGGGCCCTGGATTCCTGGCCCTCTACCCGATCCGTTCCTTTGCCACGTTTCCATGTGCTCTGTTGCTATGTTACCTCTGATCTCCCTGACGACCATACTGCACCATCACCTCATCCCGAGCCCTTGCTAGTTACAATAATCTCGGGAATTTAATTTCAAATTCACATTACTGATACAGCCTTGGAAAAAAAATAGGCAGATAAATATGGAAGTGTTTTGCACCCTGTCTGACCACTACTGCATGCAGCCTCTGCCGAATGCCTCAGGCTTCCTGTTCCTCAGTCAATAAGGCCTGGGGCTTCTGTCTGGAGATTAATCTTACATTCCAGACTCAAGAAGTAACTGTATAATGCATGGTACAGGGAAAAGGGGGGGATAAATAGGTAAGAATTGTTATAAGGTTGGCAGGGAAACTTAAGGGATGCTGGCAGGCAGAGAGTAAATGAGAGTTAAATTATGATTGTAGGCAACGAGAGGGAGGAGTGCTTGACAGACAGAGTGAAATAAGTGGGTGAATGAGGAGAATGCCGTGATGGAGGTGGATGTGGAGCACTGATGATGGTAATCAAGTGGGGTGGTGTCCCTCTGGCTGGGTTTCTGGTCTGATCTACGTCGAGGGCCTTATCAGCTGAAGCAGCCTCGCTAAGTCACAGCCCTTAACCAATCTGGCCTAAAACCAGAGAGGTTCGAAAATGTGGGGTCAGGATGGGGGGGTCTCCGCTTCCCCTCATTGAGCATCTGTGTCAGTTGGGCCCCTCTGTATGCATAATACCTGATGATTTCCCAGAATAATTCATACTGCTGCAGATACTGTCATCTCTTCACAGATATAGTGCTGTTGATACCCCCTGAAATTCCCTTAGTAGGCTGGGGTAATTTTGTCCAAGAGCACTTATGCAATCAGATAGAAAGAATGGACCCACCTGAAAAAAATGGACTTGACATTGTCAACATAATTACAGAGGAAGCTCCAAGTCATCCCCCCCCCGGCATCAAAACAGCAGTACTTTCCTGCATTACAACAAGTAGCATCATAAATCACTAGGTACAAATATTGTACCACAGTCTCTAAATTATGGTAAACAGTATTACAGAAATGGCATAATAGCACATCAGGGTGATGCTTTCTATGGTGCTCAGAGGGAATTTTTCTGTGACTGGGCAGCAGGGGGAGTAATGGTTAAAGGTTAGTTCCAGGAAGAGTCACACTTTAGAAAGTTACGCAATTCTGCAGCTAGAGTACTATAATGTTCAAGTGTTTGTGCTTTATCCAGGAAGACATGGAGCAGCCATAAAATCTTTAATTCATGCTTTTAAGACATGTTGAATTTGTGCATGCACACAGCTGCTAGAGCTTTTCTCACATCCGTGTATTAATGACGTTCCATTAGTCTGGAAGACCACTGCTGGCAGACAAATCAATGCTTTAGCTAAACTCTGTGGGTAAGATTTCCAAGATTTATGGTCTGGTGCACCAGTCCCCTAAGAGAAAATGATTGGAAATGGTGCAGCAATGTAGAGCAACATAAAGGAAAAATGCAGTAGGTGGAAGAAGGTGCTTTGACTACATGAAAGGACGGTTCCTGTCTGAGCTGCCTCGTCTAGCTGCTAACGGTGTCGTAGCTTGAACATGCCCACCACAGCTTCATTCTGCTTTAATTTAGCCAGGGGTATTAAGGCATCCCACTGCACAATCTCCTCTCGCAGCTTCAGAGTGCCCATACGTACGTATGTAACCTACAATGCACTGGGGGAGCGACTGGTTGGCAGAGAACCTCTACAAGGATGCCGTCAAGTCACGTTGAACTTGAGGCTTGTGCCGGGCAGCTGGGACCGGTGTGGAATTGGAAACGATGTAACTTGGGTGGGAATCAAATGAAAGGATCAGAATTCCTAGGGAGACACATCTGTATGTGCGGCAAGAAGCTTGGGCTGAGCGCCAAGTCTCCGTTTAGGTTGTTAGCGCTAAATGGTAGAACTTGTATTTACTGGTGACTCTTTGCTGTTGTTCAGTGTCAACTGAAAAAATGTTGACTAAGAGAAGGCAGAGGGTGATGTAGCCTTCGCCATGTGATATAATATCTGTCCTGCGGTGTGTTCTCATTTTGCTTTGGGATGTTTGATTATTGCTGCACTACATCATTAACTTCTGTACTTTGCTGGGTGATTGTAATAGAGGCTAATGGAAAAGCAAGAAATCCTAGCAGTCCAGATATCTGCAGTTCACTGGATCCTACTGTAAAGTCCCCGGCACAGTTTCGGGCCTCCTTTGGTCTGACCAAGTAGGTCAGAGAGCAGGGTAGCGGGGGCCACTGGGGCAGGACGCTGTCCCCCTGGGAGCATTGCAGTGCCATGACGATACTAGCCACTGTTGGACTGAGAAATCTGAAGACTCATTTTTTTGGTATGATTCCCTTTAGCTGACACCCCCATCCTTCCCTAGACTGCATGTGTAAATATGTGCCCCTCCTCCTCCTCATCGCCCCCTGGATCTTTTCTTCTTTCATCGAGCACACAGTGGACTTTCTGCCCCCGTCCTTCTGCAAACGCCTTTCTGACTTAACTGCTCCTGCTGCACGAATGGCTCAGCGCCCCCCCAGGGCGACGTTGCCCACAGAGATCTCTGCACGCCATTGCAAGATGCTGCCAGGTATCTAGTGACCGCTGGAAAGCATCCAGTTATTGCCGGGATGCGAAGGCTGAACCATCACCCAGGGGAAGACGGCTGAAGCGAGCCTTTGGATACCTTCCCCTCTCACGTAGATGCAGATGCCTTCAGCCTGTCCGGGGTTTCCCTGTCCCCTGCCCCCTGTACACTGCAGCCTGCTCCCGTCTCCATACTCTACATATCCATCAGCTCTCCCTTCTGGGTTCATTAGCAGAGCATCCAAGCCCGTCATCATCTCACTGCTGCCTCCTGCATCTCTGCTGTCTCCCGCCCCCACATTGCCTTTCCTGGCCCCCTCCCGCTTTACTTCACTCTGATACTGAGCTTGGAGAGTGTCTCGTCAGGCAGACTTAGCGATACGAAGTATCGGGGGCCTGGGGGTAGAAGCAGCCGCCTGTGTAATCGCCATGTGTGACTCTGCCATGCTAAATAGGACACATGCTTAGAGAGAGAGAGGACTGAAGGGATGAGGGGCTTGTCACCCTTCTGGGAGCCGGACTATTCTGGAAGCTGAAATCTGCTTCTTTCTGTGTCATTTCACACTAACACTGTGCCTAATGCATGTCCTCAGTACACACTGATCACTCCTCTTTAAGGGGTATTTTTAGCACATGTTGTATGAAATTTCTTCAGTATAGCTAACTTCAAGAACTAGACAGCCCTGTTTTTAAATGAAAATAAATGTATTTTTTCCCGAACTATGCTTTTTAATATTAGCTGGAACAAGCTATGATTACACGACGGCATAGTGTGCATTTAGGCGTTGCCTGACCTTACTGCTATCTTAATTTACCGCATCGTGGTCACTGCGATCCATCTGGAGGAAAATGCAGGAAGATTGGGTTGGGGTGGGGGGGGGGGGGTGGTGATGTCTGCAGCAGAAGACACTACAGCACAAAGGCTGCATTTTCTATCTTCTTGCTCTCTTGGGTGTTAGCCCAACATTAATCTTGGAAACTTAGCAACGGCATGTCTTTGTTTTCCGCCGACAGGCGGGTGTAAACATCAACAGCTTTCTTAACAAGGCATACGTGAAGCCACCTGGCTTGAAAAAGCAGCTTGTAAACTTAGCACTTAGCATAGTTCCCTCTGATGTACTATGTAGCTTTCTCACTCCAGAGCTTTATTTCAAGTTGTTGATGTTGGGATGGAGCAGAAAAGTCAAGCCATTGCTCTCCGGACGGAACATGTGGCCTTTTGTGTGCTGAAAACTACCAGCCTGTGGTGGGAGATTTTCAGTGGCTCTGCTGAGTCTCTTAGCATCCTCTGCAAGGCACTGAGGATCTCAGACAAAAAACAAGATTATTGTCGGTAAAGCTCCAATTTAAATTTACAAAAAAGATTATTTATCCTTATACATTTGTAAAATGCCCCTTTTTCATGCTAGTTTTTTTTTTGTATGACAATGCTAATTTGCATAGAGTATTCTGTACCTGAACTGGATTGTTATTACAAAGATAACCACTTTAAATAATAACTGTTTATATAACACCTTTTGTGCATTGATATGCAGCTCCAAGAGCTGTACATGTGTTAATCAAAAACATAAATGCAAAACTGTAATAAGGGGACAATCTGGCAAAGAAATGACTACAATGAATTAAGTCAAACGGTGCAAGTTTTTTTTTAGAAAGTACAAAACATTAAATATGACAATAATGGGGAAAAAAGAGAAGCTAATGGAGAGGAAGATTTAAATATGTGTAGAGGTTGCCTGGTGGCATGAAACCAAGAAGCTCACTGCCCACATTTTCATTTTTTTGCTTTGTTCTGGGATCTTTGCAGAAGCCCATTATCAGGGGAAATGTAAGTGGCTGCTTAGAGAACACATTTAATAATATAGTCACATTGTTAGATTATTTAGAGCTTTTGTGACGTCTGTATACAGTGAGCCAGCATTGTGAAGCCAGTACAGGTGTGATATGTTAATACTTTGTGTTCTTGTTTATATTCTTGCTGTGGTCTGTCAGTAGTCTTCCTTGGCAACTGCCAAATCGTGCATTATAGTAGTCTAGGTGATGGAAAACAACATGTCAATTTCGTAGCATCTTGCTGTGAGCAAAGTAGCTGGATGCTGTATTTCCCAGGTGAAAAGGGAAGTCTTGGATGCATAACAAACTTGGTGTTTAAAGCCCCCAGATTTCACACCTGTGTTGTCATCTCTGTAGCTAGAATTTATCTTGTCCATGTTCAGTTTAACAAGGTTTAAGTGTGTTCAAGTTCTGATGCTGGTGAAGCAGCTCATTAAAATATTTACTACACTGGGATCTTGTAATATGTCATTTGCAAAGCTGTGGATGAATGCGCAGTGGTCTTTTAGATTGCGGGGATTACTTTGGGTTCAAAAAGAAGGTCCAGATGTAGTGGTGAGATGCTGCGCCTGAATATATTCAGTAATTCATCCACATAAGTAACTGGGTAACAGCTTCACCCTGGAGCTCTGCATCTGTCTCTCAGCTGCTGCAGGCCCCTGCTCTGTAGCGCTGCATAAATCATTTGCAGCTCTAGTTGCTGTTTGTCTAAGCACATGCAGATTAACTGCCTTGTTCTAGCTTAGCAGGAACTGTAAACAGGTCGGTACTGTTTGGATGGCTTCTGTCTGTTTTCCTGAGATTGCAGTGAGCCTCATCCACAAGTCGTCCTCTTGACTGGTACACATGGTATAAACAGTGACCTTGTCCTCCTCTTGCCTCCTTTGCCACATTGCCTGCTTCTCCATTAATCTCATGTAGCGCTCAGTACTGTCTGTACATCCCACTCAGCCATTTCCCATCACCTCTTTCCTAGTTGTAGCTGACCAACTTCGTGAAAATCCCAGGCTCTCTTCGGCTTCTGTTTTAATTTTTTGCCGAGCAGATGGAGTTAAAGCTTCTGCTTCAGAAAGCTCTTAGGAAACTCTTTAGAGCAGACAAGCATGCCCAGGAACAGGATTTCTCAGTGTTAATCCGGGAAGGGTGCCGTCACAGTGCTGACTTTACTGTTATTGCCTATTTGATGCTCAAGGGCCATGGAGATTTCGATCTTTTACACTTTGAGCTGCCGTTTCCAATTCCTCATTTTATTCTTGTACCATAAATTGGGCTGGTTAAGATGTCAGAGAACTCCTCTCAAAAATGGGCCCCTGGAGCTGGAAGGGAGCTGTTTGTATTTAGGTGGTTGAGTTTATGGGCCTGCCTTTATTTGCCCAGAATGAAGAAGAGTTTCTGCTGAATTAACAGGGTGTGATGAATAACCATTGAAACTCAAAGAATATTCTTACACAGATTTTACCCTCTTGTGGGAAACAACATGTTCTGAGCTCATATCGTGGGATCAGAGTTCCTGGATGATTGTAGAACATAGATGCTGCACCAAACCATAATGAGATGCCTAACATTGTACATAACAGAAAGAAGGGCTTATTTAATTGTATAACACTTAAAGTGTTCACTGTTCAGTAAAATTTGTCTTAAATATTAAATGTTTTCCGTTAATTGCTGTCAGAGGAATAAAAAATGCAGAAAAGCCTCAAATCTTCGGTGCTTGGGCTTCCACAGTCTAAAAACATGTTCAACTGGTGTGTCTGAATTGCCCACACGGCATGTCTGCATGCCAGGACCTGGTAGCCCATGGTGTTCTTCCTCGAATAGTCTCCAGGTTTCCTGAGACCCTGTACCAGATATGCCCCTAAAATGTCTATACATTCAACAAGATTAATTCATGAGATGGTGCAGAAATGTACTTATCTTGTGTGAAGTTGTCCTTGGAGGTACTTGGAGTTGATATAAACAAATGTTTCCTTGAAATCCTACAGAGACAGAAATGTTTTAGGTCTGTGTGTTTTGATCATGAAAAAAATTAGACAAATATGAGTCAGTGTAGTTTTCACATTGTATTAATTAAAATTTCACCCAGAGAAAGCCCATGTAATTAATGTCTACCTGCATTTTTTTCCTACTGGGCTTTCACACAGTGCTGTCTCAGAACTGTGTCAGAAGGTGCAATCTACACTCGTTATAACTCTGATATAAGTCTGCCATATAGTCCGGTTCAGCATCAGGTACAGCATAAAAACTAAGGGTGCCGCCCAGGGGCACAGTAGTACGTGCCCATTTCAAGCAAATAACCCAGATCATTAAATGGGAATAGGAAACGGCATAACTGCACACAAGTCCTCACTAACAGCCCTGAGGCAGCCAAGCAGAATGAGCAGAGGGACGACAAACCCACCCATCACATGATATCATATTGGAAACAAAGATCTCCACTGGCCTGGAAATGATTCCATCACACTCATGTCTCTTTGCTGATTCCTTTGCATGTGCCACCTGACCATGCGCTCTGCCCAGAGCAGCCCAGGAGCAGAAATCAGTCGTCTATCCTTTAATTCTCTCTCAGGAATAGATGGAGCTAAATACATTCATGCATTTCAATTCCGCAATTATCATTTTCTGAAACAGATTCAGCAATTCATTTTCGTGAAAGACGTTTTTAGAACCACAAGATGTTACTGCTGGTATGAAATGCATCCCCCCTCCCTCAGTCTAGCCAGGCTAGTGTACCGTTACTGCAGTAATAACATTACTGCATTAGTGTGGTGGCAGCTCGTCATGTGAAGCCGCAATGGGAGGCTAATTGTCAGTGGTGTCATGCTGTTAAAGTTCATTCTTATCACTGGCCACCCACATATTTACGCATATTAGTATAGGCCAAATTTAATTCTAGAACACATAAATCTCAGAGAATTGCACTTGGTTTAAACTGAATTATGTCCCATTAAACCTATTCCTGTGAGAATGACATCGCCAATACAGGACACCTACCTACCAAGACTCATATCCACGTTTGCAGGCGGTGAGAAATACAATGAAACAGAACAACAACCTGCTGAACCAGCCGAGCACAAGATCATGATGCGGTTGTATATGATTCCACAAATATATATATATATACACACACACATATATATATACATACATACATATATGTAGTCTTAGGTAGTCAACGAAAATGTTTAAAGCCATTTATCTGGGTAGTTTGCATACATTTGTTCAGAAAAAAAACACATTCTAACATTAGTATATGCAAATTAACAGTAATACAGCTTTCAGCACTAGTTAAATTACTTAGCCAGTTAAAATAAGCCAGTTAGGTATTGATTAGCCAAACAGTGTGTTAGTGGTTGAGTCAAAAAATAGATTGGTATATTGGATGGTTGTTACAAATGCTGGGGTAATTTGAGGTATTCAAATAGTTTGGCTGCCAGCATTTTCATTTCATAATTTGCATTTCTATATTAAATGGGTCTTAAATCTGACCTTCATTTAGGGTCTTATTTAATAATAATAAAAAAACACTTCACATGCAGGGTTGCATGAATGCTACATGTCTCCGGCAAACGTCACGGCTGGACAGATACGTCTAAAGCCAAAGGTTAATGACACACTATCTGTTGCAGAGATGTTTTTGAACTTGAGAACTTCAGCATAAAGTCAGGGGTGAATCATGGTCTATATCTTAAGGGCTGGAACATGCTGAATGCTGACATGATCTTCCTGGGTCTGGGTGGCCTTCAGTAACCCTGACCTGTGACGCCTCCCTCTGCTTGCTCTTAGAGTCACTGTAGTAGCACTTACACATTTAGCTGGAGGGGGAGCTGCTTTTGCATGCATGTAGAGAGCAGGAAGGGAGCAAAAACATGGACTCCTGGATAGGGAGCTGAGAGTGAACAATAACGTGGACTGTCCAGGGGTTCCTGAGGGCTGGGTTGAGAAGCACTGGCTTAAGCAATGACAAATAGCCTCAGTCAGTGTTTAGGTCATTTGCAGAAGTGTGTACTAAAAATAACAAGATGGAGATTCATAACAGGCAAAATGGTGCCGTTGTGTACATCAGCCTGTAACAGTCTATAGGGATTGCCCAAACCAGGCCAGAGAGCATGAAGTAGATTTAAATCTTGCCGAGCCTTGAATCTTGTCTAGGTTTTGATAAACTTCCGTGAATCTCACCCACCATCCATGTGCTGGCTGTCTTCTCCCTCACCACACATTAAAAGCAGGGATAGGGCTGCTTCTTTGTGTATCGTGTTGTTTTGCCAGAACATTGCAGTGTGTTTGGAGATAGATGAAGTGCTGATCGCTGGTACAACAGAAAATAATGTCTTGTGTTTCCCTCCCCTCATTTTCTTCCCACTCCCTGGTAAGTGTCTGCACTTCAGTATGAATGTGACCTTAAATTGTCAGAGGCTGCCGCAGTGACAGCAAGTTCCCTCTACAGGCCAACATTAGCATTACAACTTATGCTTGTAATGTTCATTTTCACGTCAGCACTGATAGCCACTGGAAAAATTGTGAAAATGAATCTGATGCCAGTACTGTCCTTTAGTGTGCGGTAGTTGCATGCGGAGTTGTGAATGTTATACGGGTCTTTAAGAAATGTTTTTGTTTGGCTCTCAGAAAGGTTTAAGGTACACATGGCTAGCTTCATGCATGTGGTTTCTTATTGATTAATTCCTCTGTTTGTTCTTTTTGTTTTGTTTTGTTTTCTCTTTCCTTATTTCCTCCTCCCCTCACCCCCTGGCCCTTTCACTCGCCTGCCTGCCTGCCTGTCTGCCTGTCTCTCCACACCCGCCACACCTGGTGACCCCCCCGACCCCCCTGCGCCTCCCCGTCTGTCTGCCACCCTGCACGTGGGCCCAGCAGTGAACTCTCTACCCACTCTCTTGCTTCCTCCAAACCCTCTTCGTCCCAAGCCCAGCTTTATCTGGCTTCTGAGCGCTCACTGCCCTCCCTTCGCTGACCCTGAGGCCCCGCCCATCCGCGCCTCGTACTCTGCCCCCCAGAGCCGCTCTGCTCCAGTGCACGCTGTGTGCCTGCAGTCACGTTCTTCCAGTGTCTTGGACTCAGGGGAAGAACTACAACCCCATTATGCCATGGCGATCTCTCCGACCCTAAGACTATAGCTTCTCTTTTTGTTTCAGTATTCTTCTCTAAACCCTGCCCCCAAATTGCTCCCTCTTCTTCTTCTTCTTCTTCTTCCTCCTGTTCCTCTTCTTCTCCTGCCCTGGGAGCTGTGCCTCTAGGCTCTGGGCAGCAGCAGCAGCAGCAGTAGATTCTCGGAGCCGCTCTTCATCTCTGGCACCAGGACCATCAGCTTCTTGGGCTACTCGCTGCCCTCGGCCCCACCGTCCTCCAACAGCCTCTTCGCCCTGCAGATGAAGAGGTTCCCCCAGGAGGGGGTGCTGTCCTCCTCCTTGCCAGCCTCCATCCTCCCAACCAATGCCCCCAAAGTCTCAGTCTCCAGCCTGAGCTCTGAGGCCCTCTTCCTCCCCCACCTCCTGCCAGAACATAGTTAAAGGACAACAGTCCCCTCCCTGCCCTGGCTCCACCCTCTTGTTGCTACCCAACGGGCAGTCCGACACAGCCACCTCTGCCTCTCCAGCCTTTGCCACCCCTTCATGCTCACCACCTACCCCTTCACCATCAGCTTCGCTCACCCCCTGCACAATGAACCGCAGCCATGACACCCCCCTAGAAGCATATCAATGAAATCCTATCATGAACCCCCTAATGAATGGCACATGCTGTGACAATGGAGATATGATGGAAGATTCAGGAGTTTCAGTCCAAGCTCCATGACGTGCCAAGAACTCAAGATAAAAGCACAAAGATTTATCCATCTCACCCCATCTTCATCCCCACTCCTTTCAAGGCAAGAGTGTGATACTGGGACCAAAATGGAAGACCTGAACCTTTTTGCATTCCTTTATCCCTTTGGGTGCTACTCACTGGATGCACATTGTTCCAGATGATGATGTTGACTTTTACACAAAACAACAGGAGCCAGTTAAAGAAGAGTCACCTTATCACAGCAATCTATTTTGCTAGTTCTCAAAGAGAAGTATCATCAGCATAATTATAGAGGCTCAGAACACTGCATACTCCCCATTTGCTATGTTTCATTCATCCCCTTTGCACAACGCACTCTGTCTTGTCGCTCTCTGCTCTATGAATTGTGCTGGGTCCCTTGTCTCTTACTGCCATCCTGATTAGGGTGGATTGGCAAAACTCAAAGGGGAAATTCTGATCCCATCCACTGATGCCAAATTTCTGGGGAAAAGATCTGCAGGTCATTTACTAAGTATGTTATATATCTGATTAGAACATATTCAAGACAGAAGTGCAATAATGTGGTGGAATGGCGCTTGGCATGTGTGTAATATTTTGCTGTCTCTTTTCAGTAAAACAGTAATCAATGAAGAAGAAAAAAAAGCGTGAATTTTAACCTTTTTATTGCTTGTGTCCAGCCCATAGAAATACTGGTGCTAGACTACGTTTGTATCACGTCTTTGGCAGAGATTCTCAGTTCAGTCGATGGATTTCTCCTGCCTGCTTTAACGTAATGTCTGAAGCTATTTAAAAATGCAGCCTGCAGACTGATTGTTCTGTGGGGAAGGATGCGGTTGGAATAACTACAGAGGATTTAAAAAGTCCAGACTGTGTTAATTATACTCCAGCATATTTGGAAATCTTGACTGTCATGTGGTCAGTTCAATATTTTGTGACATCATGGGGGACTGGGCAGTTTTAGGGGCATGTCATGCTCACCAAAGCACTGTCTCATCTGAATTCTGCCAGCCACAAAGCAGAGAGCTGCAGAAGAACTGCTAGGTTAATGAAACCATTCGTAGATGGTTCCTTCCATTGCTAATTGTTACCTTTGCTGGCAAATATGACTTACCTAAAGGCCCAAATCAGCCTAAGCAGAAATATTACTAGTACATTTTTATTCTTTCCCTGTTCTCTGCGGCTTCTTGGGACCACTGACTCTCAGAATGGAAAGGTGGATTTCTGTAGATTCCTGAAGGATGGATGGGTAGGAGCTCGCTGCTGGTCACCAAAAGTTGGGATGTCACATTGTTGGGTTCCTTATTAGCAATGTCCTTTAGCTTTCACACTGGATGAGAAACACAACCTTCGCACACTTTACCAAAAAGTACAAAAAGCTTTCAGTCTGTTTCACTGAAATGTTTGTGAAAACATAACATAGGTCCATCTTTGGATTAGAGTAGGAAAAGGAATGTAAACCTAAGGGAAATTAAGACACATTCTTTTGATGTTTTTTTGACAATGTGAAAGCACATTACTGATTTGTGATTTTTTTTTAGCAATGTGTTTGGTTTGCGAAGTAGATCACAGTACCTGCAGCTCTCAGTAAATCTATGTTTGTTGGAAACAGTTCATTACAATTGTATCATTTCCAACTAGATCCCAGCTATAAATGGCTTATAGCCAAGGTCAGATTCTCTCATTATCAGGTTGTACAGTAGATTTAGTGCACATAAAATGTGTAATGGTATCTTCCTATAGTTTGATGAAAAATACAGATTGTCACCCAGAGCTATAGCCTCTTTCTACCGTGCATTACCATAAAATCACTGTGCTCAATGTTGCTACAATTTATTTAGTTAGCAGATGCTTTTATCAAAAGTGATATACACTTGAAAGCAGAGTCAGACAGTCCCTAGGGTGATTGGGGGTTATGGGTCGTTGCAAAGAACTAGTCATGTTTTAGTAGAGGACGGTTTCAATCCATTGACCTCTGCTCCCCTTGTTAGTCATGGTTACTGTGTCTGAGACTTCATGTCCACTGTGTTGATGTGAGACGGTAGGGCCTGTACAGCACAAAGGGTACCAACAAAATCAGACTGACTCTAATGACTTTAATATTGTATAAAAAGCATGCACTCAATATATTCAATGCCTCACAGCGAGTGATATTAAGTCATCGCCCCCTTGTGGGTACTGGTGGCATTGTAATAGGACTCTACAGGCTGGTTGATTGGGGGAGGAGGGTGCAAGGCAATACAAGCAAGGTGGCTTTGTAGAGCTGACTGAAGCACAAATTATATAAATTATACAGTGAAGGCGTAATTCTCATATACCTGTGAAACCTGGAAAGTGAATCCATGAATAATTAGTTTAAGAAATATGATAAAAAATCAGATTGTGGGTTTCCACTTCTGTCATGCTGCTGTTGTTGAATTGCAATAAGTTGGGCCTCTCTGAGTTCCAGAGGCAAGATTTGACTGTTACCCTCAGAAAGTCAGCAAAATTCACATCACAAAAAAATGTTAGACTGCTCTGGCTCCCCCTGGCTCTGTGAGGTTTTGGGGATGTGCAAATTAAACCTAAACAATAAGAAAATGTACTTGTCCTCTCCCCCAAAGAAGCACACACAGGAAATATTATGGCACTAGTGTGCACTTTTTCTGTATGTTATTTTGTTTTTAGAAATTAAAGAGTATTGACTGAAAAAGCCTCAATACCTTAGATGTCATGCACTGGTTCAGGGACAGGAGCCATGCTGGAGCCCGTCTGGCCCAGTATGGCTTTTCCTTGCTGACCAAGCACAGGAAAGATTTAATATAAAGAGCTGATATAAAAAATACAGAAAGCATACAAGAGTATATAACATATAAATATAACACAAGTCCTGTTTGTGTATGAAACTAATATATAGTGTGAAAGTGTGAAATACATAGAATAAATATTATGTAATGTAAAATTAAAATCCTCATCTTTTGCTTTTTTTATATTCAAAGCTTTTTTGTACAGTTTTTTTAATCGGGATGGTATACCATATTAACAGATACTTTAACTCACAACCAAGACCTCTTCAGTAGTGAGTGGACTAACATTTTTGTATCTAGTCTCAAATAATTGTGTTTGTGTGTGTATTTATATATATATATACACACACACACACACACATATATATATATATATATATATATATATATATACACACACACAGTACAGATAAATCAGATGCGGTGTAAACTGTTTGCAAAATCTGAATTTGGATTGTATTTATTTTCTATTGATTTGCAGAGTGTGGTGTGTCAATAGTCTTCTTGAATTCACTGTTTATTTTTTAATTGACATTGTCATTCTTTTGCCAACAGCATCTGATAGTTTTTGTATTTTATATACGTGTGTGTTTATTGATGGAGATGTACAGTGAAGTCTCTGAGGTACCCAGACAGCATTTAAAATCATCTGTGTCCCATGTTCACATCTGTACTCAGAATTCAGGAAGCAGGTGAATTTGTGATTAATGACTACATCTGAAGTGCTTTTAGAAAGAGAAAGATTTTCTTCTCTTTATGTGTGTGAAAAGTCATTTTGTTATAATAGAATTGCAATTTCTTATCAAGGTGGGTTAATGTTTCTGAAATCTGCATTTGGATGCTATAGTTCATCTGCTCGACTGACTGCTCTCAGTCAGTTATCCCTCTCTGGTCTGGCTCTTCTGTCTGTCAGGGTTACTGAGAAAACTTCACTGCTGTTCACGGGTTGCACTGTGTATGATGCTGACATGATGTCTGGTATCAAATCAGCATTACTTGTCACACTGCCTGGTGCTCAACCTCCTGGACCCTATATCTTGTAATTGAGTTTTTTTGTACCCTGCCATTAGTTCTTTTACTGTTACTGTTTTCTGCTGTTGTAACCTTGTAAGTGAGACACATCCACTGTAATGGGCTATGCTGTAGGCCGTGATTGGACAGATACTGCAATCATGATGCTTCCCATTGGAAACCGAAGCACAGTCTTAACAGTATGTACTTCATGCTATAAGCTCTAAATGAAGCAGCTTTAGGACTGGAACTAGGGTCGTCTGTATGCACATCAGTACTGCACCCTTCAGTGGTCGAGACTGATGCACCTTATACTTGACCTGTGTGTTTAATTAGAACGGTATTTCCATACTAACAGATCCAATTCCTCACAGCCACGACCACTTTAGTGATTGGAATAAGGTTTATTATATTTGGCTGCAAATAAATGTGTGCACCGCTTCCTTACCCGAGTGCACCCTAGAACCAGCTGACCCCAAGCAGACTGGGGAAACCAGAATCCAATCTCTCTCCTGTTTCCTATTTAATTCATGGTCAATAGGAGTTATGAAGTACTTTATCTTTGGAAATGGCACACTTCAAAAATCTGACTTTTTGTAACCTAAAAAAACTTTACGCTTCACTTGCAGATTTTCATATGAATGTGTGAGTGGATTAAACTCATAGCAGTGGAATAAAGATTCACCTGTAAATACACTGAATCATCCTGAAAAAAAAGTCCACAGTACTTTATGTCAAACATGTCTTTGGGGTTAAATTTAAATGAAATATATGATGGTTATAATGCATGTGTATTTTGAGAAACTGCACGGCACAAAATTTGGTCAACAATAGTTTTTTTTTTTTAATATATAAATGTCAAGTTCTAAAAGGTTTAAATCTATCAAGATTTTTATTTTTTTAATACTCCATGTATAGTGGCAAAGGCATGATGTGTTTACTGTGGTCTTTAAGGAAAGAGCATTGGATTTGACTAATATGAGACCAGGGGTGTTTGATGCTGTTCCCATGAGCAAACTTTTTATTTTTTTGAGAGTGATGTTTCTGTCTGTAGAGTAGTGTGATTATGAATGATGAAGAAAAATAAATCATTAAAATGCATAATAATAAATCAATGTGGTTGCCATGGTGATCTCTTACAAATGTAAATCTCCTGTGGGCAAACGCCAGTGACAGTGGGCTTATTTTGTAAATAATTGCTGTCTGTGTACCTAATAAAGTGCAGCTCCCTTGTAAGGCTTGTGGGATTCTCGATTGCAGCTGAGCACTAGGACGCATCTTTGCGCTCTTTGCCTCACCTGTGTCACACTCAAACACGCATCCCGCTACACAAACATACATACTGAGGTAGTGCCTTCGTCACGTGCAACAAAAACGCAACCCATTACATTTGGCACAAATGAGAAAGCCACAGAGATCTTCATAACCACCAATCTGTGTTGCGTACTTCTTAAATGTTAAATTCAGGTTCACAAAAAATGTAATTAGTGAAACTCAGAAATTCTACAACGCTGGTCCTCCAAATTGTTATGCTACAGTACCGTGTTTGACTTCATCAAACTAGAAAAAAAAAAAGAATTTATTATTACACCTGATAGCAGAATGCACATTTCATATTTGCCATGATGTATATTACAATTGTTGTTCCTCTAGCATCAGCATTGGGTGGGGGGTGGGGGTAAACTGACAGGTATCCTAATTGTATGCAATAAGCCTAATAATGTGGAAGCAGATGTTGTGATATACATTCTGTAATATAACTGCAATTACCTGCAGAACATCCTGAGACACTAATCCGGTTAACCCTTTGTAAATGTTCAGTGGAGTAACTCATGATGAGCACCCTCATCCTCAGGGCCCAATCTGTACAGATGAACACACCGCTTTGTCGTCACCAGGAAAACCACAATCACATGACAGGGTATTGAGAACTGGTGTCCTGGCTGTAGGCATACAATCAACCTTAGAGATATGCAAAAAACACTTTCCAGAAATGACACACTGAAACGTTTTTGTAACTCTAGCATACACCAGCCAAGGATGGCAAGATGGGACTGACTTTTTATACTTTCCAAAACCCTGTTGTGTACCACAGACATAAGGTAAGGAACATGTACCGATTACGGTGCATTGCCGCGGCTACCACCTGGCAAACGACGACAGGGATGAGAACAAGAATGCAGCAGGTGATACCTCAGCACCATACTAGTCCAAATGGAACAGTGTGAGTTTTTTCCAGCGGCTGGAGTGCCAATCCTGCCAACAACCCACAAATTTCCCTGTAAGTTGGAAGACCTCCTTATAGGGCTGGATGTAGATTAACATCATACCCAGGATGAAGTCATTGCAGGTTAAGGGCTTTGTTCAATGACCCAATGGAGTAAGATCATTCCTGGCATTCAAACCAGCAACATTCTGATTGCCAGCACAGTTCCCAGGCCTCAGAACCACCACTCCACCCCGGAAAACTGTTTAAACCAGAACCTGCAAAAGTTATTCTTAGAAAGTTTTTGACTTTTAGATACATGCTAATGCATTTTTATGATAGTTCTGGCACCATTTATGATGAAACTAGGCACCGAGAAGGAGGGAAACCACAGTTTAACTGGGTATGCTAGATGGAGAAATGCATTTCAAGGATCTGTCACCCTAAGTCCCCAAATTAGCGTTAGCTAACTACAGCTAGGGTTAGGGTTAGAAGCGTTATACCTTTTCGGAAATTCTAAGGTGTCTATGATAAATCTAGGCCCCAGGAAGGAGGCAAACCATAGTTTAGCTTGGTTTGAATTTTTTTTAAAAACATTTCAACGGCCTGTTTTGTCACCTTAAATCCCCAAGTTAGGGTTAGGGTTAGCAAACTGAGGATAGGCTTAGGTTTGGGAAACGTATGGCATTTTCAGGCATCAACATGTTTTTATGACAGGTCTGTTCCCCCGTAGGATAGGTAACCACAGTTTAGCATGCTTTAGTAGCATATTTCCTACTTTGCAACAGTCTGTTTTGTCACCCTAAGGCCCCAAATTAGGGTTAGGAATCTGAGGCTACGGTTTGGGTTAGAAAAAGAATGGCATTTTCAGGCATTAAAGTGTATATTTGATTGTTGTGTCAAACTCAGTGCATCTAGAAACATCACACAAACATGAGCTCTTATGGGAACTACTGCAAACCTCCTAACCCAGGGGTGTTAAATCTTATCCGCAAAGGACCGGTGTGTATGCAGATTTTTGGGATAACCTGTAGGTCAGCTGTTCAAACCCAGGTGTGAGGATTCTTCAGCTAATCAGTCCTCTAATTAGAAATCTACTTAAGAAGTTGCAGCGAAAACCCGCACACACAGCTGCCCTTTGCGAATAAGATTGGACACCCCCGTCCTAACCTGTAGTGGGCAGAAAGAACAACCTTTGTTTGTTAGGAAACCTAAAGATCAGCCAGTGTTTCTGCAGGGACCCATATACTTGTGCACCTGCTGAGAGAAAAGTTTGGAAAGAAAGGCTTCACTGGGATTTCTCGGCAAGCAAATAAAATAAAAGAACAATCAGCTCACGGTCAAGACACTGGAGATGCAACTGGTAGGGAGATGGGTATTTAAAGTGTATAAATTAAGTTTGAAATGCATAAATGAAGTCATCTCGCCAGTATTTAAATCATGACCAGTAGCTTGTCTGCTGTGCCTGTCTGATCAGCGGTTGCTTATTAACTTGTTTACATTGGACTACATAATTTAGTTTGGTGGTATTATATTATTAGCAAAAGAGTAACAGTCTGAAGAGCATTGACTACTGACTCAATTTGCATTGTATCATTGTATTTAACCTCCTGAGTCCCGGGCTTTTGTTTGGTGTGCATGTTTTATTTCCTTTAGCTATTTGGGATTAGTAGGACCTCATAATCATAAAAACCAAAAAAACATTTATTTTTTTTGAACAATGATGTCCTCATGAGGACGTAGGGTCTCAAGAGGTTAAAGAAGCTATGGTTGATGTTTGTAGAAAAGCATCAACTGTATGCATTTAGTATAGCTCATTTAATGAAATGGCATAATATATTGCGTTGCCTGTGTATTTATGTAAACTTAATGTGTTTTCCTAATTTTGTTGGAGTTTACTTCTTACACTTTTTATTAGACTCCTTTTACTTTAATTAAGTGATACTTTATTGATCCCCGTGGGGGAAATTCCCTTTACTCCTCCCCCAGCTGGCTCTTTGTAGGCAAGAGTAAGCTGGCTGTGACGGGCAGCCACCTGTTGCGGTGCCCAGGGAGCTGGGGGTTAAGGGCCTTGCTCAAGGACCCGCAGACGTGCCGAGGCCGGGATTGCATTGGCAACCTTCCGATCACAGACGCATAGGCTTACGCCACTGAGCCACGTGCTGCCCCCCAATGTTACTTTAGTTTACTTGTGACAGTAACGGCTGGGATATTGATGAATAAAATGAGATGTTTAGTTTAAAATTTTTTTATTTAAAATGAACCAATATTTTCGTTGTTTATCTTTGAAGGTTATCAACCTAACCTTCAATCTAAATACAGAACACACCTGAGGTGCCCCTTGCATCCTTCAGTCTTGAGCAGGCAATTTTTCAAGTTTAGGGCAAAAACTGGGTTGTTGAAACCTGACATAACTTGACAATAATACTTCTGCTCCCCTGTAGGATAGGAAATCACAGTTTAGCATGGTTTAGTAGTATATTTCATACTTTCCAGCAACCTGTTGTTTCACCCTAAGGCCCCAAATTAGGGTTGTGGTTAACAAATTGAGGCTAGGGTTGGAAAAAGTATGGCATTTTCATATTTCAAAATGTATTTTTATAACAGTTCCCCGTAGGATAGGAAACCGCTGGTTAGCATGCTTTAGTAGCATATTTTCTACTTTCCAACAGCCTGCTGTATCACCCTGAGGCCCCAAGTTAAGGCTAGGGTTAGCAAACTGAGGTTAGGGCAGTGGTTCTCAATTATGTTCCTGGCGCCCCACCTGCCAGAATGTTTTCATTCCAACCCTACCTTAATCAGGCTTATAATGTCCTTAATAGGCTAAAGCTGGTTACAGACCGAACGCGGCATGCGCTGTGCTCGCCGCGAGGCTTCTGTGCAAAGAGTAGGCGTGGTTTTCAAAACTCTCTCCAGTCATTTTGGCTCGCGGTCAGTAGCGACGATGTATATTTCGTATTCAAAAAGAATTCTACGCTTGTGTGATATAGCTCTGGGAACTCAGACACGGACAATATAAGTTTTTTTCCTCCATTTCGTTTTCTGTGCCCGGCTCAGTGCCTTGTTTCTATTGATCGTGAGACAATGCGTCGCAGCGGTCAAAGTTCAACAAAGTTCATCTTTGACCACAGTGCTCGCACAAGCTCCATGAGCGGCGTGCGGCACGGAGCGCAGCGTAATGCATGCCGCGTTCAGTCTGAAACCAGCTTTAGCCTATTAAGGACCATATAAGCCTGATTAAGGTAGGGTTGGAACCATTGTTCGAATTACAGGGGGTACTGGGAGGTACTGTTCCCCCCCCGATCAAGACCTAGACCCCCCCCCCAAGAGACAAAAATAGCAGTTTGGAGGGGTCTTAACATTTTTGTTTTGTTGTAAAAAAAAAAAAAAAAAGAACCTCACACTGTAGGAAAAATTTATGTAAAACGATTTCAGACACCCCTAATGTGGACCGTACCATTTTAACCACTTTGGCGCTAGAAGCAGCCAGTCGGTTGCGTCATTCGTTCTCATTGAGTGACCTGTTCATTGTGTTCATCTGTCATGGTACTGTTTGTCGTGTGTTATTTTACAACCTTCATTTATTCGTTTAAGTGTTTCATCGACTAATGCAAGCTGACGTCTTTATAAGTTGAATTACTTACCATTGTCCTTCTGAGAGCGGTGTTCTGTCGAGTTGAGCTACTTTGTATAGGTAAGCTACCGTAGTGCTAACCGATAGCCCTAACCATAGCTTACCTCGACAAAGTAGCTAATCTACAGAACAGTGGTACAGTCAACGTTAGGGACGTTAACTAGCAAGATAAGCTAAGTTCTCTATGGCCTGTGTGGTTTGTTATTAGGCTAATGTTAATGCATAAGAAGGTCTAACGTTATGCTCTGAAAAAACATTACTATAAGTGAAATCTATATGGGCAACATAAAAAAAAAAACTTGTTCGCAAATGATAAGCCCTATTTGAATTTTAGTGGTATTGATTCTGCATTCCACAATTTCATATTTATAGACATTTTAGAAGCTTCATCTGATA